ACATTTAGTACAATTATTATTTAGATTAAATAATTGTTGTTATCTGCTAAGAAATGAAAAAAAGAAAACATGACATCAACAATTCAAGACACAGTGTAAAGCAAGTTTTTAGTCAATTATCGAACCAATAGAAATAAAACAATTCCCCATATGCACTTCCTAATATATAAACCACGAATAGATCGCCCGCTGCGATCGACAACAATGATCCGTAAGACAACATGCCATCATCTAAAAAGCTACGACGTCCTACTGCTCTAATTAGATGTGCACATGTATAGTGTAATCTTGAATCTATATATATATATTGCAGATATAGAATTGCACCCTAAATAAATAAACATCGCTGGATAGCTGCTTGTTAAACAGCCGGTAAATGCTTCAACAAGCTGTGTATGATGCAAGATAGTACCAAAATACAGCACTTGGCTAACAAAGATGGCCGGTACAAATAATCAGGATGACAAAGGAAATGTTTCGGCATTGTTTAAATTGAAGCATCCTCTGACGTAATATTATGATGAAATGTCGGAATCCCTCCTACCTGCATCTGGCATAGCATAAAATAGTTCATGGAAAATAAAGAGAAAGCACTGTTTTTGATTTGAAAGAAACAGACTGGAAATTCCCAGCTTTAAAAATAGTTTCATTATTTAAAACAAACTGCGCATTTATTCCTTTGTGGTCATTTTGCTGTATAATCTGTTTAAAAGGTAAAATAATATATTTTATTGTAATTTTTGTTTTAAAAATCTCACTTTTGTAAATATTATTTTAAAAATGTCAGTTACCTCATATTTCAAAAACATTCTAACCCTTGTTTTAAGACTTGGTGAATGTTTTTCTACACAATATCTACTCAATTTCTTTGCAATCTTTACAAACTGTCAGTATCCTCCAGATTAGATTTCATAAACAAATTAAAATATATCATGGTATGATACTATTTTTAAGTCTTGTAAGTTTTCGAATGGTCACAACTAGGGTTTGATTTAAATCAAATGTTATAAGTATTTAAATATCAGCTATTCCGGCAACTCAATTATAACTTTGATAAGAGCTCGGCAAAATAAGTTTCCTTAAGTTTTATTAGATGACAAATCGTCAATTTTTGGTACATCTTTTTTTAGTAGCTTAGTTGATAATTCTCTCGTTCTTTAGTCGGAAGATCGTGGGGTCACAGCCCTAAGTCGATAAAAAAAATAGCCAGCAACAGTTACTGTTCCTTCGCAAAGCGCTTGGCGCCTTTTCTCGGATAAAACGTAATATAGAGACCACGACAAGGCTTGGAACGATAAATATCAATCACTGCTCAATGGCCCTGAGTGTCGAGTAAAGGTAAAAATTTGAAGCCCTTCGCCTGTATATGGTAAAGTCTCTATATGAGTGAAAAATTCTCGAGTGGGACGTAAATCAAAAATCAATTAAACAATCAATTGCCCTGAGTACGGAGACTGAGGAAAGCTAGGTCTAATATTATTCGAACCCTTTATCGGTAATAGGTCACGTATGAGAACGTTATAGGGTACCATTTTTACTATAGTGCTTTCCACTTTTTTGAGTCGTTGGCATGCTGTGACAAATGGTCTGTAGTATTTCTTCTTATTTTTATTTTCAATTTTGTTTAAATATGGATTATTTCCTAGCCATGGAGGTGTAGAAACTGAATAGCGTTTGAGAAACTTTATTGTGCTTTTTAAGTAATGGCACTGTACCAAGTTCAATTGCATTACACATCAAATCATTTTCAGGTCATCCAAGTAACTGAAGTGACCTATTGCTATCTGTTTTCGTCCGTAAATATTAAAACATTTTCGCTTCTTCTCTGCAACCGCTGAACCAATTTCAACAAATTTTAGCATATGGCATCTATAGATGAAGGGAAAGAAAAGTGTGAATTTCATGATGGGCTTGATGGGTGAGACTAATGCAATTACTGACAATCTTTTTCTTAACTCATGGACCGTCACCGTAGCTCAGTCGGTAGAGCGCTCGCTCCGTGATCGGAAGCTCGTGTGTTCGAATCACGGCCGCGACTGACGATAAAAGTCGATAAGAAATAGCAACTGTTCCTTCGCCAAGCGCTCGGCACTTTGAAGTGAAAGTTGCGAGTCTTTCGGATGTGACCTTAAAAACCGAGGCCCCGTGTCACAGTAGGCGTTGGCAAGGTAAAGAACCCTCACTGCTCAATGGCTCTGAGTGCCGAGTTGAGGTCCAAATTTGAAGCCCTTCACCGGTATATGGTGACGTCTCTATACGATTGAGAAAATTCTCAAACGGGACGTAAAACAACATACAATCAATCTATCTATCCGTAAACTACGGAAGCGTATTAGGACCACTTGGACACCTTGTTATTTTTCATTTTCCACACTTTAATCTGTAAATGTTACACTTTAATATGTAAAATTTACACTTTAATCAGTACATTTTTAAAGTGTAAAATTTACACTTTGATCTGTAAATTTTACAGATTAATCTGTAAATTTTACTCTAACCTGTAAATTTTACATATCAATCTGTAAAATTTACACTATAATAGGTTAATTTTACTCGTTTATCTGTAAAATTTACGCAATAATCTGTAAAATTTACAATTAAATCTGTAAATTTTGCTCGTTTATCTGTAAAATTTACAATTTAATCTGTAAATTTTACACTTTAATCTGTAAAATTTACACTTTAATCTGCAAATTTTACACTTTAATCTGTAAAATTTACACTTTAATGTGTAAATGTTACATATAAAAGTGTAAAATTTACACTTTAATTTGCAAATTTTGCACTTTAATTTGTAAAATTTACACTTTCATCTGTAAAATTTACACTTTTATCTGTAAAATTCACATAATCAATTTGGCAACTTCACACATCTTCAGTAACACGCTTTAAAGCCAACAAACCATGAGTCCTGCATGATAAAATTTAATTTTGATTTTGTATTGAACAATAAATGTGGAAAATAATTACTTCAGATCGATATAATACAAATAGTGAGCAATCTAGTATGACTGATATGGGAGTTTCATAGAATATTTTAGAGAATTATGAATTCAGTAAATAACAAAAGTATATGAGTTTATACTAACTTTGGAACAGCATAGAAATTAAAACCCTTTGATTCAATGATGTTTCTTTATTGTTACGTTCCAAAATGACCGTAATATTAACTGTTATATTTTACATCATGATTATAGACTCATAAACTTGTATATCAATCTGAACTGCAAACTAAAAATGTCAAAACGGCACTAATACGCTTCCGTAGTAAACAAACTTGTGATAATGTACATGTAATAAATTCTTTAGAAGTGTTATCTAAATGTGCTTGAAGATTTTTATCGTATGTCATATGCATGTTTATTAGCCTTTTGAAGTGTTTTTATCAAAATAGAGTGATCGGGTTACCCGGTAAATTAAGGTGCATGTAAAGAAGCGGCTGGCCCCCGTTGTTCATTTGAAATCTATGCCCTGATAAATTATAATTGTTAACTTTAATTATAAGTGAAACCTTGGTTTCACCAACATAAGCACACAACGGGTACATTGTATTCCGCAGACATTAAAAGATTTGCAGTTCACATTTTCCCAGGTTTTGGTATAGAAGTTCTGTCCAGTAGGATTACTATAGTTAACGAAGAGGTTGTAATAAAAACATCACGTTTTACAGTTTTTGAAAGAATATTTTGAAATGGAAGAAATAGGATCGGAAAAGGAATCTTCAAAAATTTCTCCTTTAGAATAACATTTCTTCAATTTTTCTGTATGAACTATTGGTGTATACCAAAACTGGGAATCTGGAGGCTGCATATATATATATATATATATATATATATATATATATATATATATATATATATATATGACATATGTTTGGTATCCCTGGGAATAATCCGAGTGACATATATTGAACTCTCAGAGTCTGTGTAACATATAGACTCAAAAGAGTAAGGCCTCTTCAATGCGTCTGCCAGTTTTATTTTATGTATACTATACTACTCATGAAAACTACAAGTATCACCGGGGACAGATTGTCCACCAGCAGAGATACATGTTCGGTGGTTAAAATGAAATATGAAGATAACGAATTGTAATCAAACTCAAAGTCAATTGAAACAATACAAATCGGGAGCAGAGCAAACACTGACTTAAAACATCACAGGTGGGATCAGGTGCCATGGAGGTATAAGCATCCCCTGTCGACCGGTCATACCTGCCGTGTCCTCATTGTAATGATCAGACAAACGGAAAAATGCGTAGACAATTCAGTGTTTAAATAATGGCCTAACAATTAGTATGAAAAACGTCTGTCAACATTCGACTTAGTGATTGATTGTTGTTTAACGTCCCATTCGAGAATTTTTCACTCAGAAAGAGACGTCACCATATACCGGTGAAGGGCATCACATTTTGACCTTTACTCGGCACTCAGGGCTATTGAACAGTGAGGGATATTTATCGTGCCAACGCCTGCCGTGACACGGGGCCTCGGTTAAGGTCTCATCCGAAGGACCCGCAACTCTCACTTCAAAGTGCCGAGCGCATGGCGAAGGAACAGTTGCTACCCCTTTTTATCGACTTAGGTCAGTCGCGGCCGAGATTCGAACTCGCGATCTCCCGACTTTAACCTTAAAATCGAAGTCATTTCAGACTTTCATATCACATTCGGAGTCCTCATGCTGATCATGATGTTCAGGAGAAATAATCCATCGTTGCAGATACTTATTTAATGTTCAAACGAGTTTTTAGATAGTATAAATGGACAAATGGAGAATACATAATAGTACTAGAGAAATTCTATAACACAAAAAAATCGAGTGATCTCTGTCAATATGCTTGAAATATGACAAGAAAAGTTGAAGAAATATATATATATAATATATTTTTTTAAAATTTTTCTAAGATAAACATCAACTTGAAGTTTTCTATAGTTTCAAAATTTAAACTTTCACAATTTACTTAACCAAAGGAACACCACTGTGAGATAATTACCAGAAAGTATGGCAAACACTTTACCAGAAGTAATAAAGGACATCGGGCGTTGTCGTGAGGTGGTTGATATTCTGTCACGTGAAAAAGTTCTGGCCATGGACTGTGAAGGAATATCCCTTGGAGCAGAAGGTCCCCTCACGTTGATACAAATAGGCACATACTCGGGACATGTGTACTTGTTCGACATACTTCTTAATAAAGATCTCCTGAAAAAAGGCAGACTGAGAGAACTTGTGGAATCCAAAAATATAGTCAAGGTACATATTCATTTTTAGGTTACCCGAGTCACTTCTGTGAGGTATTGCTGTCCGTTTTCGTCATGCGTCGTGCGTTAACATTTCAAAATGCTCAGCTTCTTCTCTGCAAGCGCTGAACCAATTTTGGCAGAAAACATCTACGAGTGAAGGGGAACAAAAATTATGAATTTCATTGTCCCTGCCCCCCACCCCACCCCTGGGGCCTTAGGGGTGGGACCAAAACAATCAAAATGAGAACAATCTTCAAAAACTTCCTTCTTTATCCCAGGACATCAATCAGTCAGACTGTTGGCTTGATTGTTTATGTAACATTGAGATTGAGTTCTCTACTAAAATTGTGGAATTCATAGCCCCAGTGTCTAGATGGGACTCTAATGATCATATAGTGAAAATACATATATTCTTTAAAAATCTTTTTCTCTCCCCCTGTATATAAAGCAGATAAACTAGGTGCATGTTTATGATGATCAAGGGTGCCTCTTTCAAAATCATGAAATTTGTGCCCCCAGGACGAGGGGTTCTGTAAGGGGGGGGTCTATTGATAATATAGTGAAAGTGCATTATTTCTTTGAAAATTATCTTTTCTGTTCCTTCCGTCACGATAACTCAGTCGGTAGAGTGCTCGCTCCGTGATTGGAAGGCCATGGTGACGTCTCTATACGAATGAAAAATTCTCGAACGGGACTTAAAACAACATTCAGTAAATCTTTTCTGCTCCTAGGTATTTAGCAGATAAACAAAGTTTATAGTTATGATGATCAAGAACGCCTCTTCGAAAATTGTGAATATCTTGGCCCCTGGGACTATATTGAATTTATAGTTCTGGTGCTGGAGCGGGGTTCTATTGATCATATAGTGAAAATGCATAAATTCTCTAAAAATACCTCTCCCTGTATTTAAAGCAGATAAACTAGGTGCATGGTAATGATGACCATAGCCTCTTTCTAAATTGTGAAAATTTTTACCCCAGGGTGAAGGGTTCTGCAGGAGGGGGGGGGGCTCTTTTGGTTATGTAGTGAAAATGCATCATTTTTTTTTTTGACATTCTTCTCTGTTCCTATGTATTTAGCAGATAAACCAAGTTTATGATGAGCAAGGGCACCCCTTCCAAATTGTGGCCCCCAAGTCAGGGGTTTTTGTGTTAGGGCGGGGCTCTATTGGTCATATAGTGAAATTGCAGTAATTCGTTGAACATCTTCTTCTCTGCTCCTCGGTATTTAGCAGATTAACCAAGTATATAGTTATGATGAGCAGGGATGCCTTTTCCAAAATTTAAAGTTTTGTGGCCCTATGGTCAAGGGTTTATGCGGGGGGTGGGGTGTTCCATTGAATGTGTAGTGGTTATGCATTATTTATTTGAAAATCTTCCAAAGCCCCTGGGTATTTAACAGAAAAAACTAATTGAATGGTTATGATGAGAAAGGTTTTTCCCCCCAAAAATTTGAAATTCATAACCCTGGGGTCAGGGGTTTTGGTGTTAGGGTGAGGCTTTTTTGAATATACAGTAGAAAAGCATTATTTCTTTGAAAATTTTCTTCTCTGTCCTTTGTTATTAAGGAAACATACTAAGTGCATGGTTATGATGAGCAAGAGTGCCTGTATTAAGGTACATGGGACTATATTGAATCTATAGTGAAAATGGATTTTTTTTTGAAAATCTTCTCTGCTCCTGGGCATCTAGGAGGCAAATAAAGTATATTAAGTTGTAATAAGCAAGGACGTTTTTAGAAGATTTTGAAATTCTGTACCATTTGGTCAATTTAATAATTTCTACTAAAAGAAGTCATTCCCCTTCGCTATTCACCTTCGATAGCTAACCACTAAATAATGTTACTGAAAAGGTCAATTGAGTAACAGAATTTTTATACAAGAATTTTTATAATATTCAATACACAAAGTACTTTCATGGTGTTAAATGGTCAGGTAGACTTAAATAATAGATTAATGAAAATGGGACAAGAACACTGTATCTTTGGACATTAAATAATCTTCAAAGACTAAGAGAGGCAAAGTGACGGGGAATGAAATGTGTTAACTAATAGTGCTCTAGAACTATTGTTTTGTTTAGTCCACATGGGGATAATGACAAGTTGGGGAAAGTACAGGAAAATAAATAGATCAACTTTAAGATTTGTTACCGAGTACTAAATTAATATTTTGCTGATCCCTGATCAATCTATTTCTCTTGCCTTTGAACAACATAGCTTCATTTATCAGCTTATTTTGTTTTTATTTATGGATCGTTATATTAATATACCCAGGTGACCATTAAGGCCCTTTTGGCCTCTTGTCTAGCTTTCTGATTGTAGAAATTATAACTACAGTACCTACTAAGCTAGGTAAGAATTATTGACATGCATTTTTAAGAAGTTCTTTTTTCATTCTTTCCTGAATATCAATAAAATGAAATTTATCATAATTATAGTATTGCCTATTATTGTTTCAGGTAATTCAGTCATGCTCAAATGACAGTGCAGCTCTGCATTATCAGTTTAATGTAACACTTCAGAATGTGTTTGACACACAGGTAATGCTTTCATTAATAAGGAATTGAATAACGTTAACTTAGCTCACTTTTCTGCAAAAAATTTTTCATGTTAAAAAAATGCATCTTATTAGATGTAATTTACCGATAAAAGAATCGTGCATTTAAACCCAAGTGTGCTCCATTCTGACACAACGTTTAAGTTCTGCAAAGTATGTAAATACTAGTTTGTTTTGTTGGAGAAAGTCTTCATTCCTACACGTACTGAAGTTAAAAACCCTTTCAAAAGTTCCATGGACACTGATGTCTATAATTGGTACAACATTAAGATGCTTGAGCCTCAATTTTTACATTGATAAATTATATCTAGGGAAAAAAATCAACACTATTTCTACGCTTGTATATGATTAAGTACGAACAAGCCCTTACATATGTACAGAAATTAGTTTCATAATTAAAGCTAAAATATAATACTCCTCTTTTGTTAGACTTGCGTAATATAGTAAATTTTGAATTTACCAGATAGTAGTCACAGGCAATTGGTAATAATTTTTTTAACCTTTTAGTATAATATTAACGCAAGCTTAAGGTACATATATCCAGCTCCGAATTACTAGTACACGGGGTGTCCCCTCCCCCTCCCCACTCATTTATACTTTCAGGGGAAATGCAGTGGCAAACTGTTTATAACCATTATCTTCTACGATTTTATCTATACAACCATATATGCATATGGCATACTTGTCTTTATTTTCTTTTATCTCCGTAAACATTGTCAAACCTCTGCTCACCGAGTGGAAAAGCCGAACCACACCTTGAAATGGCAGAGAGCCAAAATAAAAAAATGAGTAGGTTTAGAAATTCAATTCCATAGTTTAAATATTGCAGTGAATAAATAAAATTTGTTGACGTCTCATTTTTTATAAAACAGTTATTCTACAAAAACATGCCCAATTAGGATTTTTTTTTATCTAATGTCGTTTACAAAAATACCTTTGTAATATCTTAACTATAACTTTAAAGATCGATTTCAACTCTAAAACTTAAAATATACATAGGGTTACGAGTCAGCTACTTTAAACCATTACATTTTCGACAAAGCAAATTGAATAAAACAAAAACAGTTTCTCTTTTGAAAATTTAACTTCCATAACGGTAATTCAGGAATTTTATTGCGTTTAAGGTTTAAAAAAAATATTATTTTGGAGCGAAATACTGCATACTTTTGATTAACATCTTAAAACAAACGTAACTTTGATCTATTACCGAGAATTTCAACTTTTATTACTTAAAATTAACTTCCGTAATGGTTAACTACCGTAACAAATATTTTTCCCAACATTTTAACTTAACATTGGATTCATGCGAGACTTTAAAAATCATACTTAAGCGTTCTCTATGAATATCACAAAACAAAAAAAATGGTCACAAAAATAATAAGACTTGTTGCATTAGTGATATCAAGCAGTGATTTTTGGAATTTTGATTCCATTCTTTTATTTCTTCCTCAAACAGATAGCAAACCTTGTAATTCAAGAACATCAAGGACGTAAAATGGCTCCTCTTCTTAAACTGGATGCAATATGTGAAAAATACTCCGGAAATAAAGGAGATTTTAGGCAAAAAGAAGACGTACAGGTATAAATTTGCATCAATTCAATGTTTCATCATAATTGACACTCATCTTATTGTCTTGTGAATATTATATTTGATAATAACATTTTTAAACCTATTTGCAATGTTTCGCTATTGAAGACTGAATGGATGAAAGTCACAGGTGATCTTTGGGCAAAACGACCAATGACTGAAGAGATGATATTGTACGCAGCAGGTGACGTCACATCGATTGTACCAGAAGTGTACAAAAACCAGAAAAAGTATGATTTTGTATTATTAACAAAGTAGTTGAAGAAGACTGAAAGAAAATTTTACTTTTGTATGTATCCCTACACTTTTGCAATTTATATCTAAAGGTATCTGCTGGAAAACAATTTATGGAAGAAGTTTGAAGAGAGGGTTCACGAAGAGATTTATTACTTTATTGACCCCACACTCAAATTAAAAAGAAAAGAGAGAGTAGACGCAATTACAAAAGAGATCATCGCTAATATTAAAGCAACATGTCCACCAAACATCAGAATTTCTGACTTTGAAGATGACCAAGACGAGATAAGGGCTCTAAAGAGACTGAATTTTAGGGAAGCTCCCGCTATATCACCACTTATAAATCGATTAAAAACAGAAATCCTCCAGAAGGATCTAAATGAGCTCTCAGAAAAACTAGACAAGGAAGGAGACAGTTTTGTTGCAAATTGGAAATCAAAGGCTTGGATATTTGATTCCGAGAAACACCCTGATGTATCGATCAGAGAGTCCGCTAAAAGAGTCCTCAAGAAGATGAATGATATTGCTTTGAAGGACGTCTGTAACAAATATAACATGAACACAAAGCTGAGTCATGTTCGAGATATGGAAAAAGAAACATTGCGCTCACTTCGGCCGAATGGGACTAGCGACCCAAATATCCATCCCGTGGCCCTCCGTCTGCATTGGATGTTGATGGAAGATGACTTGGATAAAAAAATTTCAGAATTCCAAGCTAAGCGACTGGAATTCAAAATGACAGAGGGATTTTATAGGAAAATGAAGTTTTACATCGCTAAAAACACTCGCGTACCTCCAATCATCAAAAGAAAAGCCAAGATGTTCAAGGATGAACTTGATTTAACTTTTGGACGTGATGTTATTCCTACATAAAAGACAGGCCTTTGGCTTCTGTAATTCATATGTAGACCAAGAAAAGATTCTGTGTCTAAAATTTCTTTTGTTATATACATCTACACAAGAACCTTTGGAATGTGATTTCCCTTGTCAGTGATACTTGTCTGTGTTATTTTTTTTATTATTAAAATGATCATGAAACAGACTAACCAAAATCTGATATTCAATATTTACTTTCGTGAATTTATATGTTATCTAGGTATTGGTATTATAATAAAATAAATTAAACAAACGATTCAGTATTTATGTAATGTTGAGTTGTGTGCAATGAGGTTCGAAATTACTCTTTCCTCGACTCTTCACATTAATGGAAGCATCAGAGGTAAATATAATTGTATGTTGTTTAACGTCCAATTCAATTTTTTTACTCGTATACAAATGTCACCGTATGCTGGTGAAGAGCGTCAACTATTAAGCTGTGAGGGTTCTTTATCGTGCAAACACCTACCAAGACATGGGACCTCGGTTTTTAGGGTCTCATCCGAAAGACCCGTGACTTTTATTTCTAACGCCGAGCACTTGGCGGAGGTATAGTCACTAATTACGTTTACGTCTTAGGTTCAACGCGTCGCGGAGAAAGAGAATTGAACCAGGGCCTCCTGATCACGAAGCGAATACCCTACTTGGTACCAGTAGGCTACCGTGACCGGTCTATTTTATGATTGTTTGAAAGATTATTCTTAGTACTTAGATCATTTCCGGCTTTAGGCTGTAATTGTTTAATAGTTTTATTGGTGTTGAATAATATTCCATTGTTGAGTAGATTGAATCGTGAATCAATATATTACGATTACAGGCCCGTAGGAAGCAATTTCACTTTGAGGGGGCACAAAAACATATATTTTCAGTTGGGGGGGGGGCACTATCAACTAACAAAATTCCTTGCCCCCCCCCCCAAAAGGTCATCAGACTGACGTTATTTTGAGGGGGTACATGCATATAGTAATGTTTTCTATAGTATTCTATATATCGGCAAAATTAAACATAAAAAAATAAGAATTTTGAATGATATTTCCTTGTACAAACAGGTTAACTTTTGTATTTACAAGATGAAATCCCGCGCAATCGCAGGGAATTGAATTTATACCACTACCGACAGAAAAATTCCAGTAATATATATTGTAGTTTCTACTGACAGCCTACAAGTTTAAAGCAGGAATAAATACTTTGTTCAAAATCCCGCATTTAGCTTTGGAGCAGAAGTAGATGTACGCCCCCCCCCTTTTTTTTGTAAAAACTTGAAAATAACAATTTCATTAATTGACGTTCATGTGAAACCTGTTATACTATGTTATGGATAATGTATTTCAATTGCTCTTATTTCATTTCCTTCAAGGACAAAAGCAGCGAATATGCACATTATAATGATAAATTGATTTTTATGCCCCGGGATCGAAAGATCCCGGGGGTATATATTTTTTTTCCTGTCTGTTTGTCCGTTTGTCTGTCTGTCTGTTGTCAACTTTAACCTTGCCCATAACTTTTGATTGGTTGGAGCTATGACTTTTATATTTCACATGTGTATTCCTTGTAACAAGACCTTCTTCTGGATATCATCCTCTTTGACCTTGACCTAGGAGTCTGACCTACTTTTGAAAAACTTTAACCTTGGCCATAACTTTTGAACAGTTAGAGCTAAGGCTTTCATACTTCACATATGTAATCCTTGTGACAAGACCTTCCTTTGGATACCAACCACTTTAACCTTTTGACCTTGAACTAAGAGTTTGACCTACTTTTGAAAAACTTTAACCTCGGCAATTACTTTTGAATGGTTGATGCTAGGGCTTTCACACTTCACATATGTAATCCTTGTGACAAAACCTTTCTTTTGATACCAACCACTTTGACCTTGACATAGGAGTTTGACCTACTTTCGAAAAACTTTAACCTTGGTCATAACTTTTGAATGGTTGGTGCTAGGGCTTTCATACTTCACATATGTAATCCTTGTGACAAGACCTTTCTTTGGATACCAACAACTTTGACCTTGACGTTTTACTTACTTTTAAAACAAACTTTAACCTTCGCCATAACTTTTGAACAGTTGCAGCTAGGGCTTTCAAATTTCACAGGTATATTCCTCGAGACAAGACCTTTCTATGGGTACCAACATTTTGTATCTTTTGGCCTGGATTTTGACTTGCATTTGAGAAACTTTAACCTTCGCCATAAGCTGCCATACGGTGGCATCAGTGTTTCACAAACACATCTTGTTATTTAATTTTTTGTAAATCAGATGTGAATACTTGAAAATTCAAAGAACTTTTACCAAAATCAATAGCATAAAAGCTTAAGACTTCTCAACTCTGCATACAATCATTCCCCACAATAAATTAAAAGTCAAGGTTTTTTGACGTCAATGACAGTTGCTTTTTCAATAAAAATGGAACTCGTAAATTTACGTACCTTGTCATTGGTCATTTGCAAAATTATTTGTTAAAAAAACATTCTGGTTGTACACACAAGTAATCTGAAGTTAAAAAGATGCTTCAGCTTCTGATTGACAATATCTGTGGTTTTTGGAGATCAAGTTTTACCAACAATTTTTATTTTAATCTGCTGTTAAAATTTATATGAAGAACTCTCAGGCGTAATATTTTAAATTATCAAAATATACGTCAGTTGTGAATTGGGCTGGTACGGATCTAAGAATAAGTACAACAAACATTTATATGAACAAACTGGAAAATGGATAAATAAATGTTAATAAAAAACAAAATGTGAATAAAATAGCTTTAACTTTATGTTTACAAGTCTTAGTATCAGTATTACAGTGTAATATATCATAGACAAAAATAATATACATGTATATAAAAATGAAAACTTGCTGCAATTTGTGTATGACAGATGATCACGTTGTAAGCACCTACATGGCATCAAGTCACTTGATCAAAACATGGCGACGCCAATAAATGAGGTCAGAGCATTGTGTATACACATTAAAGCTGAACACACTTCGTAAAAAGAATCTGTCCGCCATATTCGAATGGTTTCTCGCTATATCTGAGGGTCCCTATATAAAGCCGCTCACTTAGTCGCTGTTCAGTGTTACCAGTCGTCATCGATGTAGACGGACATATGCTACACAGCACTCTAGCGACAAATAACTGTGTACTCTTCTAATGCAGGAAAGTAAGATATCAAAGAAACTTACAGCAGTTGCATAGGTCAGTGCAGTATACAAACAAACACAAATACACGTAACTGCAATATAATATAAACAAAGGTAATGTAAAGATAACCAGCATAAACACGATACCCTTGACAATAAAACAGTCAGGTTAACGAATGCGAAGGGTATACTCTGGTGATGATATCGTAAATAGTATTATTGAAAATTGCGTATGCCGATTTACGAGTCATGTTCACCTTTAATATTGTTATTTATTATTGTGAACACCGTCTTTTTCCGGTTTTCATTTCGTATGCTGAAATTGAAAGATAAGCTATCAAGAATACCACTCTCGAAGAAGCCATTTTTTTTAATTATGTTGGGTTTTAATTTCATATTTTGATGTAATCAAAAATTCATGTAATTACATCATACAGTTTTATAAGCCATTTTGCACCGAGTTCTTTCATTCTAGTGAGAGAAAAATCAACGTGCACGCAAGTTTCTTTCTCGTTTTTTTTTCGCTCGCGTGGCGCAGTGGTTAGAGTGTCTGCTCTAGAGACGCGGAGTTAGTTGATACTTACATCGCGGGTTCGAATCCCACTATGAGACGTGAAGACCGGTCCTCCGGATGAGACCGAGTTGCCCGCGTGGTGCAGTGGTTAGAGCGTCTGCTCTAGAATCGCGAAGTAATGAGTTGATCCTTACGTCGCGGGTTCGAATCCCACTGTGGGACGTGGAGACCGGTCCTTCGGATGAGACCGTATAAATCGAGGCCCCGTGTTGCAGTAGGTGCTGGTACGAAAAAGACTCCTCACTGCTTAATGGCCGTAAGTGCCGAGTATAGGACAAAGTTTGCAGCTCTCCACTGGCAAGTGGTGGCGTCTCCATATGAGTGAAAAATTCTTTCGAGGGACGTTAAACAACATACAATTAATCAATCAATCGGATGAGACCGTATAAACCGAGGTCCTGTGTCGCAGTAGGTAGTGGCACGAAAAAAATCCGTCACTGCTCAATGGCTCTGAGTGCCGAGTATAGGTCAAAATTTGTAGTCCTCCACCGGCAAGTGGTGGCGTTTCCATGAGTGAAAAATTCTCGAGAGGGACGTTAAGCAAACATTCAATCGATAATTAAACAACTTCTCCGCATAGAATTGCTGAACTCCAATTTCAAGAAATGCTTGGTACAATTATTTCCCGACAAATTTTTTTAGGCTGCAGTTTGCCTGTGCAGTTGGGGGGGGGGGGATTGCAGCTTATAATTACAGAAGCCTTTTTTGTATGAAAAGACTACGAAATTCTTCCGTTATTTGTCCTCTACAGCAGTCAAAATTTAACAGGCTTTTCTGGCCTTGCGGGAGATCGTATTCCCTTATTTTGGCTATATAGGAACAGATGATTTTATTCACGTATTCAAACATAGTGTTTTCGTTGGCCCAATGATTTTCAGGGCGTGTTACATGAAGTGTGTGTGTGTGAATTTTGTTTTTTGATGGCACTTGTCAGTTTTTTCCTCCTTATATTAATTGCATGGGAAGGAAATCTCCCGCCATTGATCCAGCAAATGTTCTTATGAAGAAAGACCAGGTATTAACAATGGTCGAGTATAAAATTGTGTACCGTAATCAACTAGGAAAAAACAAAACAAAAACATAATTACAATGATTGAATTAAAATATCAATTGAGTGACTCATTTAATAATCTTTTCATTTTGATAAACTGTTAATTTACGCATTCAAATTATAATTGTTGACCGTAATACACAAATTAAGAAACAAATAGAGTATCTGTAATTTGCCTCGTATCTTTGATGCCACGAATTTCAACTCGTTTAGCGCCCTCTGACGCCATGGTCCATAGAGACGGGAACTATGTGTAATCCAGCCTGGTCCCAATTAATATTT